GGTGTCAGTGAAGAAGCAGGGGTTAGCTCAAATGAAATTAAAGAGCTATTTACAGAAGTAATAGAAGAAAACTTCTCAGACATGAGAAGTGGATTTGGCATGCATACAAATGAGGCATATAGGACTCCAACTAGCCATAACCAAAGTAAATCTACACTGACATATAATAATCAAGATGCCAGAAATTTAGCCCAAGAATAGAGTATTAAAAGCTGTTAGAGAAAAGAAACAGATCACCTAGAAAGTAAAACCAATCAGAATCACAGAAGACTTATCAACACAAACCATCAAATCAAGAAGAGTTTGGAGTGAAGTATTTCAAATCCTGAAAGAAAACAACTTTCAACCAGATTGACCTATCCTGCAAAACTACCTTTCAAAATTGATGGAAAAATAAGATACTTCCATTATAAAGAACAACTGAAGGAATTCATGAGTACCAAAACAACCCTACAGAGAATGCCAAAGGATACTTTAGAGACAGATAAACATGGCCATGGTTCAAGGAACAGCAGCACAGAAGGATAGCCAGACAAGACATGCAACTGAATGAAGAGGAAAAGTGGAGTTCCAATAACAGGAGGACAGAATAGCAGAGATGAACCAATGCAAGTCAGTTGTAACCATTAATGTAGATGGCCTCATGTCAGCAATAAAAAGAAACACAGAGAGAGTAGATCAAGAGACAAAATCCATCAGTACATTGTATACAAGAAACACATTTAACTTGAAAGGAAATTTATCAACTGAAAATCAAAGGAGAGAAAACAATGTTCACCATGACAAGAGACCAGAAAAACAAACAAACAAACAAAAAAAAAAAACAAGGGTAGGTGCCCATGAATAACAGAATGGATAAGAAAGATATGGTATAGTCATACAATGGAAAGCTACCCAGCTCTAAAGTAGAATAATCACAAAGGTCTTGTAGGTAAATAGAGATCATGTTCATGGGTGAAACAGTTTGAACTCATATGTGTGAACCATCACCTAAGAAACAGAAGGATTTATATGGATCCAAAGGCACACTAGTTATTGTAAGAGTGATAGAGGGAGGAAACAGCTGGGAGAAAAAGGAGGTAACTACTGTCAATTTCTAATTTTCTTATCTTGAATGCTGGCATTGTTTACACAATTCTGTTAGGTTTGGCTTTGCTCTGTCTAGTTTTGTTACATTCTATTCTGTCAGATGGTGTGGGGAGCTGTTTTGAATGTAATGAGATATATTATGGTAATCATGTTTTCCTACTACATTGCTTTGAAGATTTATAATGCTTTCACTCATTTGTTTAATTGGTTTTATTTGATTTTATTATGTATTATAGTATGAACAGCTATTTTGAAGAAAATGAGACATTACAGTAGCTAATGATTGTTTCCTATCATCTTGTTTTGAATTACTACCATAGTTATGTTCTTCTGTTTTGATTGGTCCTATCCTATTTGGTTTATTTGACTTTACTATGTGTGATGTTGTGGACAACTTTGTTAAGGAAAATGAGATAGTATAGTAGCAAATGTTCATTTTTTGTTATATGGTTTTGAAGTCCTATAATGCTTTAATTCTTTTCAATTGCATTATACTATTTTGTAATGTTTGATATTATTGTGTTAGAAGTTACGGTCAACTGCTTTGAAGTAAACAAGAGACATTATAGTAGCCATTTTTGATTTCCTGTTGTCTTGTTGTGAAGTGCTGTGCTTCTTGCACTGTTTTGTTCTAATTTTCTTTGTTCTCTTTTGTTTTGGGTATTTTTTTATTTACTCTCTTTAAAATAAAAAAATACCAAGGAATGAGGAAACAGTTCAACAAGATGATGCAAGATGATGCAAAGAGAAAAAATATAATATTGATAGGTGCCAATGAAAAAGCAAGGGTCAACACAAATGACCTGAGAAGACTATTTGCAGAAATAATAACTGAACAATTTCCAAACATGGGATGAGAATCTGATATTCAGATAAGTGGGCATACAATAGCCCAATTAACTATACCCAAAATAAATCATCACTCAGATATATAATAATTAGGATATCAGAAAATCAGCAAAGAGAGAATACTAAAAAATTGTCAGGAAAAGAAACAGATAACCTATGAAAGAAAGTCTATCAGAATCACAAGAGACTTATCAACAGAAAACTTCAAGTCAAGAAAAGCTTGGAGTGAAGTATTTCAGGTATTGAGTGAAAACAATTTTCAACCCAGATTGATGTACACTGGAAAATTATCTTTCAGAATTAATTAAGAAGTGAGGTACTTCCACGTCTAAGAACAACTGAAGAAATTCATGGCCACCAAACTAATACCACAAAGAATACCAAAAGATACTCCAAAAGAGACAAATGTAACTAAAATCCCATGAACAACAACAAAAGGAAACCACTAAGCACGGCAAACACTTAAACAAAAAAGTAGAAAACCAACAACAGAAGATAACATGATAGTGATAACTCAGTACATATCAGTTATATCCATCAATGTAAATGGTCTCAACTCACTAATAAAAAGAAACAGATTGGTAGAGTAGATTAAGAAACAAAATCCATCAATATTCTGTGTAAAGTAAACACACTTAACTTAAAAGGAAATTCATAGACTGAAAGTCAAAGGATGGAAAATGATACTCCATGCACCAGGTAACTAGAAAATAGCAGGGGTAGCTACTTTGTTTTTAGACAACATGAACTTCCAACCAAGAATGATCAAAAGAGACAAAGAAGGTCACTACATACTTGTTAGGGGAAAAATTCAAAACAAAGAGATTACAATCATAAACATATATGAACCAAATATGAGAGCACCCAACAACGCAAGGCAACTTTTAATAGGCATGAAACCAAATAAACAATAATACAGTTATAACAGGGGAACTTAACACCCCATTGTTACTAAGAGACAGATCAACCAAACAAAAAATGGAAAAGAAATAACAGAACTAAATCAAAGTTTTGAAAAAAAAGGAGCTAGTAAATATGTAGAGTATTCCATCCAACAACATCAGAATACACATTCTTCTCAGTTGCACATAGATCATTCTCTAAAATAGATCATATACTAGCCCATAGAACATGCTCAAGTAAAAACAAAGAAATTGAAATGATTCAATGCTTATTATCTGAATATCATGCAATAAAATTGGAAATTAGTGATAAAAGAAAAACACAAGAACTGCATAAACATGTAGAAATTAAATAACACTCTCCTTAACAACCAATGGGTCACAGAAAAATTAAAAAGAAACTAAACAATGTCTATAATGGAATTAAAATGCAAATAAAAATTACCAGAACCTATGGGACACAATGAAATCAGAGAGTTTATGAATAAAAATCAAACTGCACAGGAAATACATTCAAGAATCATCAATGAGATTTCATGTTATTAAAAAGTTTTTGCATGTGAAAGGAAATCTCCAACAGAGTGAAAAGAAAACCTACGAACTAGGAAAATATCTTGGCCAACTTTCCTTTAAGCAAATGGCTTCTATCTACAATTTATAAATAATTTTTAAAAATTGGGCAACCAAATTTAATGTACCCATTCCAAAAATGGGTATCTGACATTAATGCACAGTTTTCAGGTGGAGAAATACAAATGGCAAATAAGGATATGAAAACATATTCAACAAAAAGTCACTCAGGAAATGAAAATTAAAACATTGAAATTTCATCTCACCCCAGAAAAAGAAGGGTCAAGGTCAAGAAATCAACCAACAACAAGTGCTAGAGGTGATGTGGAGAAAAAGAAACACTTCTCCACTGTTGGTAGGAGTGTAGACTGATGCAGCCACTGGGGAAGTCAGCTGGAGGTTCCTCAGAAATCTAGAATTAGAGATTCCATTTGACTCAGCTATCCCATTTTGGGCACTTTCCCAGAAGAACTGAAAATATACCAAAGGGATATATGTGCACCCATATTTATAGCAACACAATTTGTAATAACTGAATCTTGGAAACAGCCCAAGTGCTAATCAATCAAGGAATGAATTAAAAAGATGTGGTATTTTTATACAACAGAGTACTACTCATCTATAAAGAAAGATTGCATTGAAAGTTATAAGTAAATGGACATGATTGGAGACCATACTCAAAAGTGAAATAAATCAAGGTCATGTATGTAAATACCATATTGTTCTCTTAGTGTAAAAAGCTGAAAAATTTTTTGTGTTCCAAATCCTACATTGAACACTGTGTAAGGATAAGAAACTGTTCAAAGAGGAAAAGTAATAGAAAAAGGGAAGTGAGGAAAGAAGGAAGACAAAAGGAAAAGATATATACTTTATGTGTTTATATCTATTAGTCTAAGCAATCTATTGAAGGTAACACTATGCAATATAACAACTATTGGCATATTCCTATCATCTTGTTTTGTAAACCTATATTGCTATTGTAGTTTGTTTCTTGTTATTTGTTTGTCACAATTGTTTTTGCTTTTCTTTTCTGTGGTTTTAATCTTAAATTCATAAAAGTATATGTCAAAATGTTATCCTTTGTACTGGGGACAATTGTTTAGGGACAATGGATCAGGAGGTCATATCCTACAGCACAATGAATCACAGCAATTTACTAAATTCATACAATGTAAGGAGAGCAGATGCTGAATTTTCCCAACACAGAAAGATGGTAAAAGTGAGAGGTCAAGGATATGCTAATAATTGTATCAAACTATCACACATATTGTACCCCATAACTATGTACAATTACTATGTACAATTACTACTATCAATGACATTAGAAATGCATTTTTAAGACTATGCTTTATTCAAACTCATGATATTGTTGGATATCTTGGAAATCAATCAAGTCCCATAAACCTGAGTGAAAACATATGGACTCTGTTTGTAGAATAATATTGGTATCTTGAAGGAGAATCACTACCATAGTAAAGGTATATCTTATACTGCTTAATATATTGTTAAACAATTCACAGACAGGGAAATGCACCTCAAAGTCAGTCACACTATCATTTAAAATCCACGTCCTATCCCTTGGTCTTCTTTTCACCCCATCCCTGGCTTCTTTATGCTCCACAACTTTCTCATTGCAAATTTCACCTCTGCATTTCTGAGTGTGTAGACAATGGGGTTCACCATGGGAGTTATGACTGTGTAGAACACAGCCACCAACTTGTCCTCAGTGTAGGTGGAGGAGGGACGCAGATAGAGGAAGATAGCAGGTCCAAAAAACAAGATGACCACAGTAATATGAGAGGCACAGGTGGAGAGTGCTTTGCCCCTCCCTTCTGCTGAATGGTTCCTCAAGCTGACCAGTATAACTACATAGGAGCACACCAGGATAAGAAAGGAACACAGAGCAACTAATCCACTGTTGGCAAACACAATGACGCCTTCCACAAAGGTATCAGTGCAGGCCAGCTTGAATAATGGCTGGAGGTCACAGAAGTAGTGGTCAATCATATTGGGACCACAGAAGGGCAAAGGGAGAGTGATGAGAATCTGAATTAAGGAGTGAGCAAAGCCCCCCAGCCAGGAACCAGCCACCAGCATGTGACACATTTGGCGACTCATAATGTTCATATAATGAAGAGGCCTGCAGATGGCCACATAGCGATCATAGGCCATCACCACCAGCAGGAGAATCTCAACAACACCAAACAAATGGAAGGAGAATATCTGAGCCAGGCAGCCCTTGAAGGAGATGGTTTTAATCTCGATGAGCAGATCTGTGATGAATTTGGGAACCACAGTGGAGGAGTACCCGATTTCCACCAGGGACAGGTAGCCCAGGAAGAAGTACATGGGGGAGAGCAGGGTCTCACTGAGACTGACTGTCAGGACGATGAGGCCATTGCCCACTAGCGTGGCCAGGTACATGGGAAGGAAGAGCACGAAGCATGCTCTCTGCACTTCTATGCCCTGGAAAAGCCCAGTGATGATGAATTCTGTCACATTAGATGTGCTGACCATGGCTCAGCTGAGGGGTGCTGGATGCCGATGCTTGGTTTTGAGAAGCCTATAATAAAGGAAAGATTCCAGCACCTTTCACTTCATTTACAACATTATGGAGAGTGTAAAGCACTTACCACTCAGTCATTCCTGTAGCCAGTATATACTCATTCAGCATTAAATGTCAGCCTGATAGTGCTTTATACTGATGTGATATATGTAATTTTAGTATTAAAAATGAGGGTCAGATAAACCAGTATTTTCTTTAGGTCATATTATTGTGATGAGTCCTGAGACTCACACCAGTGTTTCCAACTCTGACTTTAGATGTTAGCCCATATGTAGGTTATCTTTGCTTCAAAATGACTCTTTTTCCTGGGAAATTGATTGGCCATATCTATCTTCCTATGGTCCTTGTTGCCTTCACCTGTGAATCAGAGAGTGATAGCCTATTTTCCTTTCTGCTCCTGCATCACTGCTGCCACTTCCTCCTCAGTGCTGTCTGCTGACACCTGAATCACTGATGGCCTTAGAGTTCCATCACACTCACTGAATCCACTATGTATGCAGAACACCACTCCCTACACTGTTTTACACCAGTCCACACAACTCTTTAGGAATACCTCATTCCTCTAGCTTGTTTTTAATAACCCTCATACTTTGAACCACCTCAATAACTCCCCACTTACCCACTGTGGTGGTTTCACAGCTGCTGGTCAATTTGTAACACTCAGATGAACTGAATCAGCATGGTGCTGGTGTGGAATTTCCACCTGAGGATTGTTGCCAACAGCATAAAAAGGAGAACTGGAGAGGAAGAAGTGGTGCTATTGGTTCTCCTGGAGAAGCTTGTCTCACTGGCTTCTTAATATGAACTTGGATGTTCTCAACTTCTGAGAACCTTGGTTCTCATTTACATTGAGCTTGATTTCCTGGATCCAGTGCAGATACCTCAGCCTGCTGCCAAAGATCCTTCATTCCACTGGCATAGACTTTCTAGTTTCATTCCTTCCCAACCCAGATCTGTGAAACAGACTTGCATGAGACATTGTTGTGGGCTCTAGGTCCTCAGCTTGAATCATGCATGAAATCCAGGCCCTCAGGTGGAGTCATTGGTCCTCTAGTTTGTGGACAGTTCTCCTTTGTTCATTTGCATTTCATTCTTTGGGTGGATAATTATAAAATCATGCCATAAATTATGTGTCCTTTGTTTAATTTTTTCCTCACAAACCTTGACTGCAACACTCACTAAACTCCAATGCACCAATGCTCAATCCCCACTTCATCCTCCCCACATCACAGCTTCCATCACCAGAAATACTCTGTCCTTGTCTGTCCCACCCAGCTCCCAAGGTAGCTCCTGTTCAGTATGTTTTGTGAGGCTGACTGAACTTTAATCTTTTCACTCATGTGTATCTTCTTCACTCTGAGGACTGAAACAATACTTCAGTCATCTTCCTGATATACTAATCTCACCATGTCATTTCTTTACCTGCACACTACCAATGCTGTTCCTCTGCCCACAGTATGAATGTAATATTATTACCAAGAAATTAAAGGCTCTTCTTGCACTGGCCAACTTACACTTGCACCCTTAGTGTTAAGTACCTCATGAACACACTGTGATAATTTCCTAACCCAAAAAGCCATTGTCTCCTTCACTGTATGTCACTCTTAACCAGATAGCATAAGAACTTCTGTACTGCAAAAGGAAAATGCACTCACCTTTGCATCCCTATAGTACATCATCATCTCTCTCATAGAAATTCAGATTGTTTTGTGAACATAGTTTTTTGTCTGTGTCCTAATCCACAAATATGCTTCTCTACTTCAAAATTACATTTAATAGATTTTTAAGGTTTTATTTTTTTATTTCTGTCTGTTTGATAGTATTATCTAAAATTTCAATACTGCTGGCAACATGTCAAGCACTTTAGAAGTACTCTGTGTACATGAATTCATTCAACACTGTCGTGCCTTTTCAGATTTGAAGAAACATAAACCAAGATCAGTCAATGAAATCCCCTAAGTCTCCACAGAAGCAGACACAGGACTTTATACCCTGCAGCTGAAACATAGATAATGTGCTACTTAAGCCCTGTCCTACATCATCAGAAGCAATCAATTAAGGACATAAAACACAAGGAACAGTTCAAGTGAAATACACATTCTGTTAGAAGTCAAAATACAGTTAATTTTCCTACTTAAAGACACACCTCTTATGTGGATTCAAGCACAATCCAGTTTTCACACATCAAAGAAAATTCACACATGTTTCAAAGGACAGTTTTAATACCCAGCTGATTCTGGCTTGCAAAAATTGAGCTAGAAAATCCACAGGGCTCCCCCCTGAAAAGAGAAGTTCTTTATGAATCTTGGAGAGTTCCAAGTTTTTAAAGTTTTGTCCCCATGAGGAAGAATGTCTGAGCCCTTACCTATTTGAAAATTACTCTTTTCTTTCCTCTCATCTTTGTATTTATTTCTCTGTCTTCTACTTCCTTCCCTTTCTCTCTGCCACTTAACTTATGAGAAATATCTCTGTTTCCTCAAAGGATTCTTGCCTGGAATCTCAAGAAGAAAAGATAAATGATAAATACATATGAATGCATATATACTTTACCCAATGTACTGTTTTTGTGCCAGAGCATAGCCATAGCCTGCAGACAACGTCTAGGTAAAAATAAAAAAGGACAGTTGAATTTCTTTATGTGAGCAACCTCACAGTGAAGGAATAGAATCTGTACCCATTCACACACTGCCGCTTAATAATTCATAAATGATAAAACACAAGATCACCGAATTGTACACAGCTCAAAACCATTACAATTTATGTTAGTCATACTCTGCACTGAAAATTCTTCATTTTATTAACCTCCCCACAGAGAGTAACCAAACCCTACCATGCAATTTTGCAAATGAATTCCTGAAGCTCTGAGAGTTAATTTGGCTTGCCCAATATCCTATTCTGCTTAGAAACTATGCACTGGGCATAGGTCACATCACCTACCTTTAGGTCACCAGAGCTCCATGGGGTAGTTGTGCTTTGGAACATGGAATTGGACCAGAAAGATTTCAAATGTTCTCAAGGTATCTCTAGCTCAGTAATAAGTGAGCTGCTCTGCTAGAAGAGACCACTGTACAAGGACTTGGTTTGTTTTGCAAAACTTGAGCTGGGAAGGATCAATCCAATTAGGGTGGCTGGATTCCCTGAGGAGCCTGGTTCTTGTTCACGGAAGTAGTCTTGGCATATGATCACTCACTAATTCTGACTTGGAGAAGTTGATCCAGGAAAAACCACTGGGCTCCTCCCTGAAAAGCCTGGTCTCTAACCACATTAGATTTCCTTGTGAAAATCACCATGGGATGACTTCTTACTGAGGCCCCAGTGAACAATGTCGAGGTTACACTCAGCTGAGTCAACAAGATGGTGCTGATGTTTGGAAAAATGTTCTTTGAATCCCTTTCTGCATGCAGGAAGTGATAAAGACAGTGGAAGGTTAACTGGGTTCCCCAAACCAGTTATGCAGTCACGTGGCTATTAAGTAGGTCAGAAGGCAGCACTCCTCACCATTAGGCTGCCTTTGAAGGTTCAGGGTGGTGTTATTTCTGCAATTCAAGGACAGGGCTGGGCCCCAGCAACAAACCAGTGGTTCCTGGTAACTTCCAGATAACAAGGTAGATGATATCTAACACAAACTGCAAAGAAAGTAAAAACTCAGGTGAATTGTAGCAGCATTATTACTTGAGTTTAAAATTTTTAAGAAATAAAAACCACAGGGACAGCAATCTCAGAGATAACAAGATCCTGTTTTCTTGTAGAAATGTGAGCAACTCTGCAAATTCCAAGCACTGCAATTTAATGCTGAGCTTGTTGAAGACTCTGCCATAAATTAAACCACAGTTTTCAGCAAGGGACCATTTCCCCATGGGCAATCTTTTCTCTACAGTAAAACTTTTCCAAAGAAACTGATTGAAAATGTTTCAGAGTATTGCACTTATGCAAATGTTAGTCCCATATTTTTTGTATACCGTAAGGGGAAGAAAATGTAGAAATTTAAAGCTTAGAAAAGTACTCTCCCCCAGAATTCTTTACTAAAAATGAAAGGAAGAAAAACAAAGAAAAGAAGCCTCCAGGAGTGCAACTCTGGCTCAGTGGCCCACTAGCGATCTGATTACAGGAAGGTGGCACTCCTACCCACACTTCACTGGCCCTTTTTTCTCTTCTGCATAAATGGCAGAGTTCATCCAGATTGCCTTATCTACCCCATCTAGGTCTAACATTCAAGCACTGATGTACAATATTCATGGATAAGATCACCTCCTTTCCTTGTGCCTCTGTCTCTCTTCCTCTCTCTCTCCCTTTCTCTCTCTCTCTCTCTCTCTCTCTCTCTCTCTCTCTCTCTTGTTGTCACCCTCACTCTCTCTCTCTTGCTCTTGCTCTCACTCTCTCTCAATGAAGATAGTGTTCATGATCTGGTAATATTTGAGACTTTCCTCTGCAACAAATATCATTTTCCCAAAAGATCATTCACTGAACAAATAGCACTGAGTCATATCAAGTGCTATGCATGATCTTCGGTGTTTCAAATTAGCCAAAGAAAAATACAGGGCCTGGACTCATGGCCATCATAGCATCCATACCTCCTTAAGGACTTGATGAAAATAATAATATTGTGGTGAATTTTCAGCCAGTGGTTGGCTTATAATAATAGCTAAAACGAATCACTGTGGTGCTGATTGTGGATGGCCCACCTGAGGATTGTTGCCAACATAAAAAGGAGTTCATCAGAGGAAGAGGTGCAATTTTGGCTGTTCTCTTTGTTGTTGGTGCTCTTGTTGCCACTGGTGCTCTTGGAGGAGCTTGTCATCCTGGTTTCCTGATATGAACTTGGCTGTACTCATTGTTGAAGGAGCTTGAGACCTCATTGTTGCTGAGGATAGCTGTGGTACTTTTCAGGGGAGCCCTGGTCCTTATTTTGAGTGCTGCTTCTTGGCTCCAGTGCACAGCCATTGACCTACTG